AGGAAAGGCAGGGCCTCTGCGCTCGGAGGACAGGGCCGGGCAGGAGGGTGCAGTGGCAGGAGCGTTCTGCAGGGCCCCTGCGCTGCTCATCACTCAGGGCCGGGCAGGAGGGTGCAGCGGCAGGAGCGTCCTGCAGGGCCCCTGCGCTGCTCATCACTGAGGGCCGGGCCCCTCCCCCTGCCCGCAGGCGTGGGCAGCTCAGCGGCAGAGCTTGCTCTTCAGACTCTTAAACGCGGCACCTCTGTCCTCCCACCATGACAAATACAGCAGCCGCAGGCCCCGCCACACACTTCCAGCATCCTTCTCTGTCCAGCCCCGGCTGTGCCCCGCAGGACCTGAGCGCCTGTGCCCCGCCCCCCAGCCGTCCTCGGGGGTACAGGCCCCGGGTCCTCACTCACCGGATCATGGCATATGCCACTTCCAAGAGGTTGTTTTCATTTAGCGTGAACGTTGCTGTGAAAGGGCTCAGCAGGGACCTGTCTTCTGGCTTGTGGGTGCTGCCCGCTAGGCCAAGGACAAACCACTCGCCCTGAAGCTTCAAGGGGCTGGGGGTAGGCAGAGTCCAGGATGGCCCAGGACCCCCTGTTGCACTAGGCAACGGCTCCCAGGCTGGGCCTGCCCCGGTCACACAGGCAGGAGCCCTAGGCTGCCCTGGGCCAGGCGGGGACGGTGATCCTGGCCCATGGCTGGCCTCTCTGGGCCTTGGTTTCCTCATCTGCGCAGAGGGACTGAGATGTCTCCACCTCTCAGGGATGGGTGGGGATTACGGAGGGAATCTAAGGTCCTCTTCTGTTGGATTCAGGGGTCCATGGGGGTGCCGAGAGCAGGGCTGGCCTGGCTGGAGTCCCCACACCCGCACTTGGCCGGCCCCCTCCCCCTCCCTCCCAGCCCCTGACCTGGATTTCCTGGAAGCTCTGCGAAACTGAGCTGGGGACTGTCAGTGGGGGTGAGGTCTGGCCCTTCAGGGCCCTCGGCAGGGAGAGTAGTACCCACGGGGCACACCACGGCCCCATCCCGGCAGGGATGGAAGGGAGACAAGTGGCCATCAGTGCTGCCGACGCAGGGACTCCCCTCTCTATGGGCCTACTTGGCAGGCGCCCCTCCCTGGGGGTGTGTCTCCTGCACTTCCCTCCTCAGGACCCTGGCAGGAGGAGGTGGGTGCAGAGGGCTTGGCCGTGGGCTGGGCAGGTGCGGGGCCCACATCGGGGGGGGCATCTGGGTCCCAGCCTTGGGAGGTGGGGTGCCTGCTGGGTCCAGCAGCTCCCAGGGAGGGCCCCAACCTTCCCATTCAGATTCCTGAGAGACAGGCTCTGCACCGCTTTGGCCCCCATCCCGGCGCCCCACGCTGGGGATCAGAGGCCTGCAGTGTCTCCCCTGCAGCCTCACCCCAGCTGCACTCCACCATTCTGCGAAGGACAGAACGCTCTCTCCCAGGACGGGAGCATGACGTTTCCTTGCCCGACAGGTCGGGGCTGGGGCATTCTCGCTGCAGGAACATGGCGCAGAGCCTGGGCCTGCCAGCCTCCACGCTGCTCCACAGTCCCTGAAGCCAAAGTGGGGGTCCCTGCAGTCACGACCCAGAGGGAGGGCAGGGGGCAGGGCAGGCCAGCCTGGCGGGGTGGGGAACCCACACGCTGCTCCCGGGGGCTGGGGGATAGCTGGGGAGGGCGTGGGCAGCCCCCAAAGAGCCCCTCCTCCCCACTGGCAACGGAGTGCGTGGGTCCTGGGCTCCATCGGATAGAGAGAAGGACCTGTACTTGACCTATGGGCTCGTCCTGAGTCACCACCTCCCGCCCTTGGCCTGGGGCAGCCTGTCCTAAACAGGAGCCCCAGCCACGCCACTGGGAGAGCCCAAGGCCCAGGGCTTCAGGCCCTGGCTCTGTCCCAGGCCCCCTCTCCTCTGGGAAGGGCCTGGCCCTCACTGGGGCCCTTCCTCCCCTGGGAGTGTCTCCCGTTGCCAGCTGGACGGCCACCAAGGCCTCTCCAGGTCAGCTGCAGGCCTCGGGCAGGGAAGGGGTGGGGGTTTGGGCAGCCGAGCCCCCATGCCTTGACCTCCCTGGGCCTGGCCGGTTAGCACAAACTCACCTGCTTCCAGACTCTGGCCACAGCGAGAGAAGTTGCAGACAACAAGCTAGTTTTCCTGGAACTTCCCAAAGGACCCATCAGGCTCCAACAGAAGCTGGGGCAGCAGCTCCCCCAAAACCTGGCCTCCACCTCCCACCCTGCAGGCCCCAACAACCCCGCTGACCCCAACCTGATCCTAAACCCCCCGAGATGGTGCCTAAAACCCGCCCCTCTGCACCCCTCCCAGGCTGGGGGCACTCTGCCCCCCTCAGGTGGTGCCCTCCCACTGGGCGCTCTGGGGAGATCTTGGGGGGCAGCAGTCGGCCCCTCCACAAGTATGCCCACCCCTGTGACCACCTGGCCTTCCCTGGTCAGCACAGGCCACGGCACAAAGCGCCTGCAGCAGCAGAGGCCAGGCGGGGTCCCCACCCCACCCCAGGCCTGAGTGGCGCCCTAGGCCCAGGGATCCCACCTCCAGGCCCTGTTCATCTCCCTGGTGTGGGGCCAGCAGAGCCAGCAGAGCAGGGCAGTGCTGGGTGAGCGCAGGCCCCTGAAGGCCCCCCACACGCTGGGGGAGCTGGAGGTCCCCTCTGCAGTGAGGGAAGTCTGGCCCCGTCCCCACATTCAGGGGCCTGGCCCACCTGTCCACTGGAGCTCCTGTGTGGACAGGTGCCTAGCAAGAAGGGCCAAGCAGGGGCTTCCCTGGTGGCGCAGTGGTTGAGAGTCCGACTGCCGATGCAGGGGACGCGGGTTCGTGCCCCGGTCCGGGAGGATCCCACGTGCCGCGGAGCGGCTGGGCCCGTGAGCCGTGGCCGCTGAGCCTGCGCGTCCGGAGCCTGTGCTCCGCAGCGGGAGAGGCCACGGCGGTGAGAGGCCCGCGTACCGCAAAAAAACTAACCTCTGATCGTAATGTTCTTCCAACAAGGAAAAGACTCTGGCCATACTGACAGTCTGTGATGGAGTTTTCTTTCACATGATAAAATAATATACCATCATTCTTTCTAAGTGTTCATTCTTTTTAAAAATTTCTTATTTAGGGCTTCCCTGGTGGCACAGTGGTTGGGAGTCCGCCTGCCGATGCAGGGGACACGGGTTCGTGCCCCGGTCCGGGAGGATTCCACGTGCTGCGGAGCAGCTGGGCCCGTGAGCCATGGCCGCTGAGCCTGTGCGTCCAGAGCTTGTGCTCCGCAATGGGAGAGGCTGCAACAGTGAGAGGGCCCCGGCACCCCAAAAAAAAAAAAAAAAAAAAAGAAGAAGGGCCAGGCACAGGGAGTTTCCTGGTGGCCTAGTGGTTAGGATTCGGGGCTTTCACTGCCGTGGCCCAGGTCCAATTTCTGGACTGGGAACTCCTGCAAGCCACGTGGCAAGGAAAAAAAAAAGAGAGAGAGAAGGGCTAAGCACAGGGCACCTGGTGGTCCCATGACAGGGCCAGCGATGCACCTGCTGTGGGACCACGGCGCCAGGGGCCTGGGACACGGCAGCCTCACGTCTGGGCGAGGCCAGTGCACTCCAGGTCAGTGCTCCTTGGGCGTGAGCGGCCCCTCCACGTTCCCCGACTAAGACTGCCAGTTAGAGGGTAGTTTCCATAGAGTTTTCAAGGTTTTTCTTTCTTCTAAGATATTAAAAACTACCTCTCATAATTAAAAGGCCCAAACAAATTATAATTAATAAATACCTTTACATAAAAACGATTCATCCGGGGCTTCCCTGGTGGCGCAGTGGTTAAGAATCCGCCTGACAATGCAGGGCACACAGGTTCGAGCCCTGGTCCGGGAAGATCACACATGCCGCGGAGCAACTGAGCCCGTGCACCACAGCTACTGAAGCCCGCACGCCTAGAGCCTCTGCTCTGCAACAAGAGAAGCCACCGCAATGAGAAGCCCACACATAACAAGGAAGAGTAGCCCCCTCTCGCCGCAACTAGAGAAAGCCCGGGCACAGCAACGAGGAACCAACACAGTCAAAAATAAAAACAAATAAATACATTTAAAACAAAAACGATTCATCTAGAGCTACAATTGTTTCACCCAGTTTTTGAAAATTTAATTAGACCTTGTTAAACATTTTAGCAAAAGCAAAATGCGTCGCAACGGTAGCCCTCCGTTCCCCCACCGCCCCCTCCCATATAAGGAGCCAGCCGCAGGTGGGGCTGGCTTGCTCTGTGGCCTCGGCCCTTTGATCCCTTGAGAGGTCCTGGCGTGGTCCCCAGGATACTCAGCTCTGCTGGAAGGACCCTTTCTTCCCCAGAAGCCCTGAGAGGGGCCTCTAAGGAGCCTGGCCTGTCCACACCCCAGAGCAGAGGCCCTCCTTTCTGTGTGGGGGACATGGGGCCAGGTGTGCAGTGCTCTGGGGCCCGGCCAGCTCTGAGCTGTGGCCCATGTGACACAGGTGCCCGTGTGACCTCCAGCTCTGCTCTGCAGGGTCTTTGTCTTCCCCTCTTCCCAACAGCCCTGTCTGCCCTTCTGGGAGGCCGGCGCTGAGAGACACCGGGTGGGCACGGCCCAGACTGGGGTGTCGGGCACAGTCCCTGCCTGCTGTGGACACACCAAGCCCTCCAGGGCTGCGGGCTCCTGCCAGCAACCGCCACCCCAGGCCTCCTGGTCCGGACTGGGCCAGCGGGTGCGGAGGGCAGGTGGGCACGCAGAGGTGGGGCCAGGGGCCTCTGACCCTGCTCTCCGGGGACCAGGCAGCGGTCCCTCCCGTTCTGTGGCCTACAGCTCACCCACGGAGGCCTGGTCCTCCCCGCAGCCCAGGGAAAGGGGCTGCTGGGGGGCATGAAATGGGGCTGGGGTGGGGGTCCAGCTCCCAGGTGCCCCCTCAGCCTCGCCATCGTCAGGGAATGGTGAGCACTGGACCTCAAGCTCCCAGGGGCAGGAACCTGCCACCTGTGTGCCCAGAGTCTGGCATGCATTTCAGGAATGCTCATCAGACAGACCCTAAGGCTCCCCAAACAGGGCGACTTGGGCCCTTTTCCCAGGCCCGGCTTTGCCCAAGCCGATGACCAGCTCCCTGACCCTCCAGCCCCAGTCCGGCCCAAGCCGGGGGCTGCCATTTGCCCTGAAACTTTCCCCAGGTTCTCGAGGGAGGCTGCCCCTTCTCCTGATTGGGGGAGGGGCATAGTGGGAGGGGGACAGGCATGCACACAATGGTCTGGCTGGACAGTGTGTGCCAGGCACAGGCGTCCACAACGTCCTGGGGACAGCGCTGACTGGCCGTGGCTCTCGCCCAGCAGGGGCGGGTGCGGGGTGAGGGAGGAAGCGGGGTAGGCGTCCTGGGACCCAACAGGGCACTGGGCGGGTGGGCGTGTGTGGGGGGCAGCACCCTCCCACGTCCCCAGAGCTGTGGGAATTGGCTGATGTCTTCAGCTGTTTAACAGGACGGGTCTGGACAGGCGAGCTCTCGTGGGCAGGGGCCGGAGCTGAGCCCACGTGGACCCTGGCACCGCAGGCGAGAGCACTTCCCTCCCTACGGCCCCCGGCAGCTGTCCCTGCCGGTGGGAGCCCTGGGCAGACCCTGGCTGGAGGGACGGAAGGACAGCTGGATCCCAGAGTGATTTGCTCTGTACTTGTGCCCTTTGGTCTCTGTTTCTCGGGCATCGGATGGTTGCAACCGCGGATTTTCTCTTTGGCGTTTCTTCCACTGTCGGGGACCCTTGGTGAGGGATGGGCGGGTTGGCCAGGACATTGGTGTGTGGGGGTGCGGTGGGGTGTGTGTGGACCTGTCCCAGCACTCGACCCCCTCCCAACGGTCCACAGTCACTCGGAGGGGCCCCTCCAGGCAGCGGTTGGGGGGGTGAGGACATCGTTTCCAGTCCCCGTCTGCCTCTCCCTGGACCTCGGAGGCCCCACGTTCCAGAAAGGTCTTCTCTACAGGCCAGAGGTCATCTTGTGGGCCCTCATGTCTGGTGACCTTGGGCTGACACTGGGTGTGGGCTCCTGAGGGCAACCCAGTCTGTCCAGGGGTCCCTCCCTCTGCACCTAGAGCCCCCGTCTTCACCCCAGTACTGGCAGGCCTGCTTCCCCCAGATTGGGGTACAGACCCCCCCATCTCTCTTTGTGCCTCCTGGCCGCTCACCCACATGATCTCCCCTCAGGGGCACCCTATGCCCGATGCCAGGAGTGGACTCAGCGCCGGGGTGGTCGGTCCCAATCGCGGGCCAGTCTTGTGCCCTGTCTGGCCCTGCCAGCCCCTGTGGTGGCTGTGAGGGGCAGCTCAGCCTCCCATCCTCCTAAGACAGATGCCAGCTCACCCCAGGCCCAGGCACGACCCAGGAAATGGAATGGAGCCTCCCTGCCCGCCCCCTTGAAACTGCCTACCCTCCCCAAGGGCCTTTCCTGCCTTGGCCACAGGGCCCCCTGGGCCTCTGGGCCCCTGCCTCCCAGGAGGGCGCTCAGTGGTCAGCAGGCGACAAAAAGGACCTGAGGGGCGGGTTCCGCATCCCTCTAGAAAAGGCCGACGTGTCTGGACAAGGCGAGTTCAGGTCCTGGGCCCACCCGGGGCAGCCCAGCGAGGCCAGCAGGGCAGGCGTGCACAGAGTCAGGGAGCAGGAAGGGCAAGGGCAACCACAGAGCCGTGGCCAGAGGAGGGGACACTGAGGTCGGGGCCTGGGCGCTCTAGGCCTTGAGAAGGGGCCACTCCTCACTCCCACCTCCCTGGGGAGGGCTCTTCACCAGGAGACAAGCCGATGCCCTCCTGGCCCACCCGGGAAGCAGCCCCACGTGTCCGTGAGATGACAGGTGGGCAGAGACCCTGGCTGGGTACAGCGTGGAAAGGAAGAAATCAGGAGCTGAGACTGACAGCGTTTAATGAAGGCAGCGCCTCGAGCTCCTGGCGGCGAGGCGCAGCTTTGGGGGCGGACGGGAGAGAGTCCCCCACTCAGCAAGGGGGCGACGGGTGCCGCACCTTCAGGGCCTTGGCTGCTTGTTGGTGCAGGGCTGCCGCCGGCCTCACCTCCTCACTTCTGCAGCACAGACGAGACCCAACCAGGAGGGAGCTGCGCGCTGCCAGCCCCCTGCCACACCGCCCCACCGGCGCTGCCCACTCACCATCCAGGATGTGAAACTGGTCCGCGGCCTCGCAGAAACCTGGGGGCCGGGGCTGGGGTCAGGGGTGGCGGGGCCGGGGTGCGGGGGAGGGTGAGGTGGACCGCGGGAGACGCAGGGACACTCACCATACTTGGGGAAGAACAGGGTGTGGTCCTCGGTCAGGTTGGCACCCTGAACCCGCTGCTCAAACACACTCAGGAATGATTCGCTCACGGGGAGCGAGCGGGCTGTGTGCGGGACACACGGGGCTCCTGGGTGCCCGCTGGGTGGGTGCGGGCTGGGCGGGCAGGGCGCTCTGGGAGCTGGGCTGTGTGCCGGGGGCTGTGATCTGACCCCTGCCCCCCACCCCCGGTCTCCTCTCTGTCCCCACATCTGGGCCTAACGGCAAGGGCAGGGGAAAGGGAGGGGAGCGTCCATGTGCCCATCCGGGCCCACCCAGACGGCCCTGCGGGTGTGCAGACCCGGTCCCGCAGGGACGTACTGTACAGCTTCACCGACAGCCGCCGCGCCCGCTCCAGGTACAGGATGGCGAAGCCCCGGTAGTCCGTCTCCCCAACGACCACGTCCACCGCCCCTCGGGCGCCTCGGGCTGGGCAGAGCCAGGTCGGGGTCAGCCTCACCCCCAGCCCTGCACCCTTGTCCCCGTGGCCCGCGCCTCACCTTGGAGCAGAAAGCGACCTGGGAGCCCCGTGTCACCGTAGAGCTGCTGCACCTGCCAGCAGATCCCATCCCTGGGGGTTGGGGGTGGGAGGAGGCACAGCAGGCTTGGGGACCCCAAACTCGGTGGGGCCTCCCGGGACCCTGGTCGCAGGGCCGCAGGCCGCAGCAGGGGTAGGGTTGGGGGCCGGGGTGGGAGTCGGGAGGCTGGGTGGGGGCGGGGCTCCGTGCCGGGACTCACAGCTTCCTGAAGGTGCTGACAGCCATGGCTGCACCCTGAGGAGTCACATGCAGTGTGGTGGCCTCAGCCTGATGGCCCTGCTCCTGCAGGGAGCGGCACACAGAGGCCACAGCCACAAGGAACCAGGTCCCTGAAAACTGGGAACAGGCCCCGTGAGGGCACGCGGGGACGGGGGCTGCAAAGCTGGGCGCGCACCGCTCCAGCTCCTCCAAACCTACCCGCTGCGCGTCGAAGTTGGCCTTGGGCTGGATGGCGCTGATGGGGGACGGGGGCCGAGGGGGTCTCTGAGCCCTCTGACCCAAGGAGCCGACGGCCAGGAGCAGAGTCAGGAGGGATGCCGTCCTGGGGGGCAGCATGGCAACAGCAGCGACAGTGACAGGCCTGGGGGAGGCGCAGGGCAGGATGGTCAAGTACCGGGTCGGAGTCCACTGTCCACTGCTGCCCAGCCGTCCGGCCCAGGAAGTCTATGTGCATCCCCCCACCTCCCCAGCCCTGGGCCAAGCAAACGGACCGCCCCCCACCCCGGCCCTGGCCCCTGCCCCGGCCTCCTCACGAACTCAGCCTCACCCTGCACATCTGACCTCGGTTCTGCACTTCCCGGCAGGGCCCTGTCGCCATGTCCTGTGTACAAAGTCCGAGGTGACCTCTGGCTTCTTGCCCACAAGCCCCCACGTGACTTCCAGTGTGGCTGGTGCTCATCCCTTTTGCACATTCATCTCCCTTAAACCGCCAACAGCTCCTTGAGGTACGGACTAGTATTATCCCCACAGCGAAGAACACTTGTGCCCAACACTGGGAAGCGCCGGAGCCAAGTCTCGAACCGGAGATCTCGAGCCTCGCCCGCAGCCCCGCCCACGATCCACGGCGCTCGGCCACCGTCCCTCCCGGCCGCCAGGGGCGCTGTTTCTGGAAAGACCGAGCAAACACAGGCGCACAAAGAAGCACCGCCCGGGCCGCGGGGCCTGAGGCGCAGGCGCAGTAACAGCTAACGCGGGCTGCTGGGCTCGGCCCTCGACGGCCATCGATGCCTCGGGGCTCGTGACGTTGGCCTGGCGGGCTCGGTCATAGAGACGCGGCGGCCGGAGCGGCGACGGAGGGCGGAAGCGGGTCCGCGGGCAGAGGCCTGGCGCCGGGGCGGGGGCAGCGCAGCCGGGCGGAGGCGGCCGCGGTGAGTGGGGCCGGCCCGGGGAGCGTCGACACCAGCCATGTCCGAACCCCGGCCCGGACCCCAGCGCCCTGGCCCCGGGGAGCGTCGTCACCCCGCCCCGATCCCCGGCCCGGCCCCCCGGCCCCCGGCCCCCGGCCCCAGCTCACCCGGCAGTGGCCGCACCGGCCCGTCGCCCACCTGGCAGGGGTCTCCTAGGCCAGAGGGCAGAGGCCAGGGCCGGCTGGTGTCCCTGGCGGCGTCTGGGGCAGGCGGGCTGGCCCTCGTCCCGCCGGCCCCAAGTCTCTCCTGAGCCCGGACCCCAGCGCCCTGGCCCCGGGGAGCGTCGTCACCCCGCCCCGATCCCCGGCCCGGCCCCCCGGCCCCCGGCCCCCGGCCCCAGCTCACCCGGCAGTGGCCGCACCGGCCCGTCGCCCACCTGGCAGGGGTCTCCTAGGCCAGAGGGCAGAGGCCAGGGCCGGCTGGTGTCCCTGGCGGCGTCTGGGGCAGGCGGGCTGGCCCTCGTCCCGCCGGCCCCAAGTCTCTCCTGAGAAGGATCTCTGTCCCATGTTGACAGCTCCGAAGCCTGGGGCAGCAAGGTCAGAGAGGCAGGGTGCACAGGGGTCACCGACCCTTCGTTTCTCGGCCTCAGAGCGGTCACCAGCCCTGCCAGCCAGATGACTCCCTGGGATCCTGTCGGGGGAGGTCAGAGGGACCCACCCAGGGCCCCACTCAGGACAGAAGGCCTGTCCTGAGGAGGGGGCCTTTTGGGGTGAGGGTGAGTCTGGGGTCTCAGGGCCCACCGCCAGCTCCACCTCAGGCTGGACCAGGCCCGGAAGCTGCCTGTTCCGGGGATGACTTGTCCTTTCCGGGGACCCTCAGGAGTGTGGGGTCCAAGGAGCGTGGCTGTCCAGGAGGCTTGATGAATTTCTTGGATCCTTGGCCAGGGGGGTTCTCCGCACATGCTTAGTCCAATGGAATTCCCAGCGGGGCAGTTGGTGGGCTGCCTTAGCTCAGCCGCAGGCCCCTGCGCCTCTCCTTGGGCCTGGGGGCTGGTGTCCTCCCTGGTCCAACTGGCAGCTAAGGGGACCATGCATACGTTTCAGGGCCGCCTGGGCAGAATGTCACGATGGACGATGGGGGCATACCCCTGCTCCCCGACAGCCTCGTTTACCAGATCTTCCTGAACTTGGGCCCGGCCGACGTGCTGGCCGCGGGGCTGGTGTGCCACCAATGGCAGGCCGTGTCCCGGGATGAGTTCCTGTGGAGGGAGCAGTTCTACCGCTACTACCAGGTGGCCCGCAACGTGCCCCGACACCCAGGTCAGCACTGCACTCCGCCCTGAAGCCCACTGATCCTCATGCTGGTCGAGGACAGCCAGGCTGCACCTCAAAGCACGGGGTCTGGGAGGGAGGCCGAAGGGTGGGCAGGGCTGGCCCCTGGCTGTCAGGGGCCTGGCTCTGAGGCGTGGGGCCCCAGTGTGACACGCCCATACACACACACAGCGGCCACATCCTGGTACGAGGAGTTTCGGCGGCTCTATGACACAGTGCCCTGCGTAGAGGTGCAGACTCTCGAGGAGCACACCGACCAGGTCCTGCACCTTAGCTTCTCCCACTCAGGCTACCAGTTTGCTTCCTGCTCCAAGGACTGCACCGTGAAGGTGAGGGCGGCTAAGCCTGTAGGGAGAGAGGGCCAGGCCACGAGTGACAGCTGGCCCGTTTGCTGCATCCGCATGGGGAGGCCCGGGACCTGGACCACTGGCCTGGATCACCCGGGCTGGGAGGCTGGGGCTGGGTGGCCCTAACTGCCTACAGAGAAGAGAGGGTCCTGCTCGCAGCTGCTCCAGAGCCGGCCCCAAGCTCCACGTACTCACATCCCTCCGGCGGTCTGACAGCCAAAGACAAGGGGCCCCCACCGGATGGCGGTTTCCAAGCACCGGCTCAGCCGAGCCGACCAGGAGAGGGGTCCCGTGCAGGGCGGGATCACGAAGTGAGCCTGCTCGGCCCCCCCATGCAGATCTGGAACAACGACCTGACCATCTCGCTGCTGCACAGCGCAGACATGAGGCCCTACAACTGGAGCTACACCCAGTTCTCCCAGTTCAACCAGGACGATTCTCTGCTGCTGGCATCCGGGGTGTTCCTGGGGCCCCACAACTCCTCCTCGGGCGAGATCGCCGTCATCAGCCTAGGTGAGAGAGGGCCGAGGGTGGGCGGCCCTCGCACCGGGGCCGTCCCACCCAGGCCCCTGCTCCATCTCCATCTCTGCCCCGACAACCCCACCCCTAATGCCCAGCTCCGCTCCCCGCCTGGACAACCCCACCCCATCCCTCCAGCCCCGCCTCCCCCCTCCCC